ATGAGCTGCTTAGCCTGGACTCCATGAGGATCGCAACATTGCTAATACCCAGGTGAGCTTGGCAGCAAGTCCACCGTCCTGATGAACCTGGAAATAACTGCACCTCCCGCAACACAGTGATTGAAGTCCTGAAGAGATCCCAAACTGCAGGGCCCATTTCTAGTCCTGTTCAACTCTCTGACCTAGACAGACTCTACATGATTAATGTGCATTTTAGATATTCAAGTTTTGGGTAATTTCTTATGAAGCAATAATTTATAGCTAGTGCATTTAATTTCTGAAGTCACTTACATAGATATTTTTATTTGTGAGTATACAGTTGACAGGATTCCTTAAGACTTCTTACCACTGGCAAAATATTTATCATTTTCTTGTGGTGAATTTTAAAAAATTCACAGACTTTAAGAGCATAATATGCTATAGCTGACTATAGGAATGATGTTATATAGCAGATGTCTGGAATGTATTCTTGCTGGACTGAAACTTCATGTAGCACGATTAGTAGCTCCTCATTTTCCTCACCGTCTAGCCCTTGGCAATCACCATCTCACTCCTGATTCTTTGAACTTGACTACTTTAGACATCTAATGTAAGTGAAATCACGCAGTATTTGTCTTTCTCTGACTGTTTTCAAGGTTCGTCTCCACTGTCACACAATGCACAATTTCCTTCTCTTTCTTCCTTGATGCTTCTGGTTTTATTGTGATTTAATTTGAATAATAATTCCTGTAGCTGTGAATCTACTCTTTGAGGGTAAAGGCTAAGTTATTTATCCTTCAAAATACATTATTTGATCCATTTGAACTTTGAAAATCACAGTAACTGTTCACAGTTTAATTTTAATGTAAATATCTTTAGCTTTCTAAATTCACTAGCTTCCTATCCTACTAGTTTTAATCATCAGTCTTTTCGTATCTTGTGTTTGTTATACAGCATAATACTGTTTCCTGTATAATCCAGTCCACAGGGAGGCATTGCAAACACTGGTTCATGTCAGGGTGTCATTAAGTACACTGTCACATTTCCTTTTATCTCTCTTTGTATGACATTGATTGACACAGCTGGTTGAATGTGCATCTATTATGACATGTAAGGATTTGCTTTAGTTGTTCTTCAACATGTTTGTGTTTTTGTAAGTACAATTTAAATGCTAGCAAACTTCATGAATATTATGTCTAATTATGAAAAGTCATTCAGATTTCACAAACAAGTAAAACTTTCAAGTAGAATTTAGAAACTTGTCCTTTTATTGTACAAATCTTCATTTTCTTAGTAATCAAGAAGATATATTTACTATTTGCTAAACTATGAAGAAAATTTATACCAGTGTTGAAGAAGTCAACACTGAAAACAAGAACTCCTCAACTATTCAGGATGTTTCATGACCTACAAGTATCACTGGACTAAAAAGCCTCACTGGCTTGAAATATTTAATTGGCATGTATGTAAAACATAAGATAAATAAAGAAATAAAGCAATGTTTTTTACCATTTTCATAAAAAAATTACCTATATTCAGGTTGATGCTACAGGTGCTATTGTTGAGTGATTGAAATAGAGATACAAGTTAAGTCTGGGGTCATTTGATCACTTCTTTACTAACTGCTGTGATGTTGGATGATGTTTTAGTTTTCTTCATCTTTGAAGCTGTGCTTCTGTTAATTGAAATGCTTCCATAACTTAATGGCAGCACTGATCTTTGATATATTAAATGAAAAGGAATTAAAGCATATTTTTCCATACTCCTTTACCAGAGTGTATTGTTGCTGGCAATCCTACACTGACTGTGCTTTCACTAAATTAATGACTTCTATTCAAACATATACAGATAGAGCTTGTGTAGTCATGGATTAAGCATACATGAGTAGAGGCAGACTTCTGCTACTAACATTTGTGCTCACACATTAAGCATTTGCATACATGCAAACCTATGCATGATATACATAGACATAACATATCCCCACACATAAATCCACACTATGTATGTGTGTGTATGAATTAAGCAATGACCATGCTTTACACTAATATGACCTCTTCCCAAATGATGAACAGGTAGAGAAATGGTCTTGTACTCTGTTACTTTCATGATATTTAAACATTTTGCCACAGCAAATGAGCTTCAAACAGAAAGAATTCAGAGACTTGCCATAAATAAAACCACACTAGGTTGGGTTCTTTGAACTATTTAAAAAATACCAATATTGAGTTATTACTGTATAATTTGAATGATTTTTGGAATTGTTATGAGAACAATTGTGCTTTTAAACCTGATAATCCCTCTGTTATTCAAGGTCATACCAAAAAATAAGAAGGACAAAATAGCATTAAAACAACACAAAGCAATAATCAGAGATTTAAACACTTTTGTTTTTACCCATATCAATTCTCATTTAGCTTGAAAATCACTTTCCATAACTGCTTCAATTGCAACGAGATAAGTACTTCAAGATGTTCACTGCAAATTTGTGGACTGATGTGAATGATCCCAGAATATTAAAGCTGGAATTGATCAGTGGCATTATCTGGTCCAGTGCTTTTGGTTGGCAGATGAGTTGATGCAAATTAATTATCTAAAAACTTTGTAGGGTAGGGAATGAGAATGAAAAAAAGGAGCCATTATCATTTCAGAGGAGGAAAGTGAGGCATGGAGACATTAAGCAAGTTGCCAACTTTATTAGAACTTGTTCCTCACTGTTGGGACTAATATTTAGCCTGCCAGTATCTCACATCGTGCCTCCCCCCCTGGCCTATCTTCACGCTGCTGATGGTTTTAAAGTGTCACCTCTAGGTGAAGAGATAATGATTTAATAAGGGAGAAGTATATTTCTTGCCTCTCTGGACAGGACACATATTGTCATATCATATTGACAGGACAGGTGGGATTCTGAATGTCACTGTTGGACAAATCCTGAATTTTATTGAGATGAACTCTAGAAAGAAAAGGACAATGTAACTTCAATACCTGTGTTTAACAGAACTCATTTAGTTGTAATATTTTAACTATGCAACACATAATAAGATCTTTTTTTTTTTTCAAAATATGTTTGCAGGCTAAAGTCTAGCTTCTAGCCGCACTGACTAAACAAATGTAATTGCTCTGAATGGACTCTAAATAGCTTTCAACATTTCATTACAAAGCAATTACATATTAGTCTTCCCCAGAGCTCTCAGCATGGCTTTTAAAAAAGAAATTACACAAACAGGTGAAATCAGCCATTATGAAATATAACCTACAAGCAAGGTTTCAGAGTGTGTGTTGTAGGAGAGGCTTAAATCAAGTGATAAACAAGTTTCATTTTTGAGATTGCTGTCCTGAGAAAATTTCAGTGTTAAAAAGGGACTTACCTCATTTTACAATGCTCTGAAGCACTATGGAATTTCTTAGACATTGCCTGGAGGTTAAATGAAGATCAACCTCCTATAAATTCATATTATATATATATATATATATATATATATATATATATTTGACTATATAAAACAAGATGTAACTGAACATGTGTCTGTATTTAGAAAGGACGTAATTCTCTAAAACAAACTGAGAGCTTATTTTGTATCAGGCACTTTTCTAAATAAATATTTTAGCTATCCTCAAAGCATTGCTTGTAGATAAGTTGTTTCTACTATTCTTATTTTTTTCACAGAGCAAACTGAGACACAGGAAATCTAAAAAGTTGGTTCAAAATCAAGCTGCGGTGGATGGGAAGTCGGGGTTCAAACTAGGTATTCTGATACCTGAATGAATGATCTCAACTTCTCTTAATTTTATCCATTTATACCACTAAGATCCGAATTGGAAATGTGAATCAGGCCTGCGTATTTTGAGATAGAAAGAGAGGCGAGCCACTAATACAATGGCCAGGCACAGCTTTATAAACTACCAAGTATTGTTTTGGCCTTAAGGCTGTGCTTCCAAATACAGCTTTTTAAAAAATGAAGAAACCGGTAATGGATGATCTGTGTGTATAACTGGGGTTCGGGGTGCTCGGAGGATGCCCAATTCCCTTGCTATTTCACACCCACTGTGTGAAGATGTACATCTGGGTGTTCTATGTGGACAAGCTTTCTGCTTCTCAATACAGTTTTTCAAGGGATACATGGCTTCATTAATGTGCAAAGCGGGGGCGAAGTCTCAGTAAAGAGTTAGATAGAATACTCTAAGTGCTTTGGATTACAGTGTCTATTTTTCAGAACTCATCTCTGCTGATGCTGTGTTAAAGCACCCGCAGGCAGGACAAACAGTTTGGTGGAGTGCCTTTACTTTCTTATGCAGTTTGAAACATGAAGTTTATATGTTTTTTTGTTACAAACTATTATCATTCCTTTGAATTTTTGCAGTAATTTTAAAATTAAAAAAAAAATAAGTGAGCAAACAAACAAACAAACAAGCAAATACTTTCTTTGCTCAAGGATCATAGAAAGCAGGGAGTAACTCAAATTAGGCCAAGGGGCCATTGCTTGTCCACCGTTAGGCTGCAGAGTGATTCTTCCCAGCATCATGGGCATGGTCAGAGAATGTTTCTAAGAGGCAAATTCTCAAGTGTCTTTCTTACCTACTGAGTCAGAAACTCTGGAAGGAGGCCCAGTAGTAAGTGTTTAAAAAATAAAAAGTCCAGGTGAAACAGGTACACACGAAAATTTGAGAACAACTTCCTTAGAGCCGCTGCCCTAATGATTTAATCCATGTAGTCATTCTTGCAACAAATGATTTTTGAGAGGCTAATTGTGCAGGAATACAATGGAGAAATGGCTATTTCCCTTTGTGTAGATGATAGAATAATCCTCTAATAAAACAGGAAATGGGAATTTCTGAAAATGGCTTATACCCACTCTTGTGTGTGTGTGTGTGTGTGTGTGCACGCGCACACACGTGTCTGTGACTGACACACTTTCATATTCTTCTCTGTTCTATTTCTATAGGATCCAACTGAATAAATTGATTTTTACAATCTACCAGCAGATCACAACTGTAGGTGCAGAACACCATAAACATTCACTCACCAGTGCAAATTCCTTGTTGAGAATCATCTGCTCCACCAAAGACGACTCGTTGTGGAAGAGATGGGGCTGCATGTGGCTCCACATGTGAGGGAACCACCAGAACTCATCCACGGACCGGAGCAAAAGGTCATCCCCCTCATCTTCCTCTTCAGTCCCTGCAAACAGAGTTAAATGTGGCTTTATGAAGATATTGTACTCCTGCAACAGCTATTGTCAGGTTTACTTTTTTGTGTATTGCTGATATATAGATTCAAATGTGTGTTTATTAATAACAAAAAAATCATAGTCTAAATATTAACAGAGACCTTAGGAGTTTGAGTACTGGTCGTAGGTGCCATTGGTCCCCACTGCAGACAGGTAATTTAGAATTTAAGAAAGAATGTTACCTAATCATAAATGATTATTTCTTTAATTGCCTCTCTTATTAGACACATCTGACCAGAAATAGGGAGTCATTTTTCTCTTACAAAGTTTATAGTAAATCTAAAAATTGAGCTTATAACTGATGGATTTTGATGTTTATGATTTAAAAGTAATGCATGTTTATTGGAGACGTGTGCAAAACACAAAGATACATTTTATAAAACCAAGAAACAAAAAGAAAACAACCCATAAAACCATCTCGAGAAGTACGCACTGGAATCCTTTGTGTATCTTTCTTTAAAATATTTCTCTACTTATTTTTCAATAATATTTCTTCCTAGAATTGTAACATACTACATAATTTGGTACAATTATTTCAGAAAAAATTAACAATGAATCTTATAGTTATTTCAATTATAATAAATATCTGACTTGATAAGTTAAAACTAGTATTTCTTTCTCATGCACTGGAAACATTATTGATAGCACCCAATGAACAGGGAATCCATTATTTTGTAACAAGGTGAAAAAGAAAGAATAAACCCAATAACTTATTTCTAAAAGAATTCATTATATTTCAGCTGTTCAAGAATATTTTCATTATATAAAATTTTATCGCTTTGGTACAATTTTACAATATTCAGTTCAATTTCAAAATGCTCTAAATCAATCCTAATAATTCCTATTTGGTCTCTAAATATGAAACTGCATCATTAAAGTAAAATAACAAGTTGGGTTTACAGTGTGAAGCGTAATTATTTGGTCTGCTTTTTTCACCACTATGGTTTACAAATTGGTGCTTGATTTTATATTTTTTTACTAAAATTAAGAAAATAAATAGTAAAGACATTTTAATGGTTTTTTAGACTGTTTAATTTGCATCTTCCATAAAATAGATTTCCTTGTTGATTGAAGGAGTACTGCAAAGTAGGTAAAATTTATATTTAGTGTCAATATGGTCACTTAATTAATGTGATCTTGAAAAAATTAACTCATCTGCATCTCAGGGTCCTGACTAAGAATGCACATATAAATTCTTATCAGATCTTAGTAAATAAAAAGTCAATGAGATGAATTTATCAAAGCACTTAATATTATTTTGTGATTTGCAGATCAAAAGATTTATAAATATTATGATCTTAAAATAAATTCAACTGTTTTATGCATGCTGAGTTTTTAATTTATGTCTTTATCCATTCTAAAATTCTGTAAATTATAGATTATAATTTTCTCAAAGTCAGGCACTGGATCTTATTAATTTCCACAAAACATGCAACTTCCCCAGAGCAGTGAAAAAATGAATCGTTTTATCCAGGCTATGTTTACACAGTCAATGGACTTCAGCAACTTCCCAGGACTGCTGAAATACATACCAGTATGTGTGTCTTGTATATATATTCATTATTCCTGGCATAAATTTCTTAATCCACAGTCCTCAAAAGTTATAGGGACTACCAGATTTAAATAAGGGTTTGTCACCAATGAATACTACTACATAACGTAAGAAATAGCAGTTGTGAAAATAGTACAGTTTTTTTTTTTTTTTTTTTTTTTTTTTTTTTTTTTTTTGTCTTTTTCCTTTTTATCGGTACCGGGGATCGAACTCACAACTGCCTGCTTGCAAGGCAGGCGCTTATGCCGCTGAGCTAAATCCCCAGCCCCCGAAAATAGTACAGTTTTATAAATAAAACAGAGACAACATTCTTAATTTTTGTTAAAGTTACCTTAAACCTTCAGTATTATTGATTCATAGTTTTTTGTTGTGAATATGTTATGAATATAAAATATTGAAACCCAGTGGGAGAAGAGTTATTTATTTTCTCGGATTAGCTGCTTATGCTAAAGAGGTTTTCATGGCCATATGATTAGTAGACCAAGTAATAGATTGGAGTTATTTTATATCATATATGATGGTGGAGTTGGTTGTCCACGCTCTACTCCAACCCCTGGAATAAGTGTGCTGGGCTTTGAAGACAGAATATTTGGGAAATGTTGCTATTCAGGTTTCAGACCATTCTCATTATTACAAGTGACAGAAAGCACATAATGCACACTTGACCGGAAAGAAGGTCAATTACTCGATTTAAAGAAAATTTTGCAGACTATTGATATAAACAGATGCATGACTGATCATCAACTCTAAGCAATTTTTTGTATCAGAGTTTATGTTAGTTTACAAACACTCTCTACACAGCTGAGAGTGACATTTACAACCTGCTTTTATCATTGCTTTTTGACACCAGGGATTAATTATTGTCGGTCTTTTTCCTATTTTATGCTGGTTGATAGCTCAAAGTCACATGAGGCAGACCTTTGACACTAGAAATAGCTTAATGAAAAGTATGATATGATGTCATGCCAAAGGAACATTGCTGAATTGTAAGTTTTCAAATGAAATTGCTATATTTTTGACCAACTTTAACCAGATATTTTACTATATTTAATGGAAGCTTAAATTACAGAAGGGCCTGACTTAATGAACATGTAAGTTGCAGACTTTCACAGGTACAGAAGGACCTCCTATTAGGGACATGCACAGATATGACCAAATCACAGAAGTAGCTCTGTGTCTGCGTTCAGATGCTGTCACACTTGTGCTTGTGTGTGATTACTGTGCTTAAAGGCAAAAGTCCATCTACAGTATTTTTTTTTTGTGTGTGTGTGTGTATGTGTGTGTGTGTGTGTGTTTGTTTGGTTTCTTTATGCTTTACATTGTACCTTAGGGTCAAAGTGTTGAGACTCACTTCATTGGACGCACAGTGAATGTGACTCACCAGCATTCTTTGAGAACAGAATTCTTGTCAGGGACATGAGTTTATGTATAAAAGTGTAGCTAGTAGTTTGTATCTGATCATATAAACACAAGTTAAAATGTTAAAGTTCTGGGCTCAAATCGAGCCATTTACTCTTTCTTTGGCATTGTGTTCTGAATTTTATTTGCTGTAGTTGGAATTTGGAAGATAAAATTGCTTTGTTAAGTGTAAAGTGTCACAGACTCTTCCCTCCAGGATGTAAATTGTGCAGTCTGGGCCTAAGGCCTCCAGGCAGAGCCACTGAGCTCTCTTTTGGTTGGGTGGTAGCTTTTCTCTTTTTGCTGCTTTTGTTCTGTTTTGTTTGATTTTGCTTTGCTTTGCTTTTCTTGAGCCTTTCCTTTCTAACCTGATCTACATTCATAAATATGGTTTGATTCAAAAGTAAAATATGTGAAGGGTTAATTCCTTTGTTATAATTTTTGGAGGCTCTGTGTTGGGAGATAATAATGTTTCTAAAATGTCTTTTAAGTCTGCCATATTACAGTGTGCCGTGTTTGTGTATTATATTCAGAGCCCAGTGCATACTAAACATGTGTTCTACCTGGGACCTACATCCCAGGCACAAAATAAGAAAAATATTTAGCAAGATCTGAGATATAGGTTAATATCCTATACAGTACAGTTATAATATTAAGCTAAGTCATAGAAAATTTTAGCATCTGGATTATTTCTTTTGTATAAATACATGCTTTATATTTGCTTCTTACAGGTAAAATTGTGGTTCCTAAATGGGAATATTTCCTAATTTGCCTTGAATACTGAATCTGGTATGGTTCTATACTAATAGGTTTCAAATAAGCTCATTTTAACCATAACATTAAACAATAGAAATTATATGATGAATATTCATTGAATGACATCTAGTTTCAACATTAGAAAATGGAGTTATATAAACTATTATTTACATTTTGATAAAATTATTTTCATATATAAATGCTTTTAATTATTAACAATAAACATTTGGCATTATTCCAAGAGAGAGACATTATTACTGTGGTATCCCCATCTTGTCAGATGTTAAAACTGAGGTATAGAAATGTAAAATAGGTTGTGCTCACGTAACTAGCAATATGTTGAGTCTTTGTTTTTTGTGGTATCTGGGATAGAATCTGGGTTCTCAAGAAGATTATGCAAGAACTCTACCACTGAATTACCTTCTTAGCTCCCCCTTTTTAAATTATAAATTTATAAATTTATTGATATGATGAAAAGTCTGAATTTTAACACAAGCAGTCAGTTTCCAGTGTCGTCTTTTTATCCATGTTTTGTAACAAAAAGTCAAAATACACAAAAAATAAAGGAGAATGACACATATTTCTTATTTTCATGTCTCAAAGTTAATTATTTTACATAAACTACTATTTTTGTAAAATTTACAAAATTTTACAATGTTCTCCTCAAAAAGAACATTGCTAAGCCAATTTGCAAACCTTATTCATGCATTAATTACTCACTGGGTCATGTTCAGTTTCTTTTGAATTACTAAAAGAGCAATGGTTAGCAGCAGAAATTGTGTCCTATGAAAAATAAAATTTGCAGCCTCTTTTTGCCTAGAAAGCAGCATAATGTTGCAATGTCTCCATTTTATAAAAGAGCTTTCACTGTGCCGTTACACACGTTGTAAATATTTCCAGGCTAAAATATTCTAAACTCCATGGATTTACTTTTTTACTTTTAATCAGCATTATGTCCTTCTTTCAATTTAGAATCCATGAATGAATGGCTTTTGGCGAAGGCTTAGTAATATGCCCTTCTGGGGTAAAATTGTTTTTAGCATGTGAAGGACAGAGAAACGGAACAGGGAAGAACACATGATAAATACAAATAACTGGGGCAGGCTGAGTTAGGCGGAATCAATCATTATTACACTGGACATGTGTGATTAAATGTCTTCAAAACAATGAAACTCATCAATCAGAATCCGTATGCATTGGGAAATCAGACGTCCTGGGAGAAAACTGAGGCTGTCACTGTAACAAGGCCATCTCCTCATGGTGACGTATCACAGCCAAGTGCACCCCGGGGAGAGCACTTCCTTTATTTGTAATACTTTCTCTGCAATATTAAATCTTCATATAGGAGTGTGACTTGACAGGGCTGTTGCATGCTTTTCTGATGTGGGCATCACTGATGTGTAATTCATCCCTGCAAGAAAGCTTGATTTGTCCAAGTGCAATAATAAGCACTCAACATAATACGATAGCACTCTTGAAAACTGTTATATACGCTTTTCAATGCTCACGATGATAACAGTTAAGTAAAACATATATTTATATGAAGGAAATTAAACCTCCCGAATTTATGAGTTTATATACACTGCTTATTCTCTGAAGTATACTATCACCAAATAACTGCATAGATGGCTTCTTCCATCACTTTTCTAGGGCGTTTCTAACACAGAGTCAATAATATTTGTTAAAAAGATATAATTAAAATATGCCTTTCTGTATCTCTCTTCAATAGTTATTGCAGTAATATTGACTGGTTTGCTGCTTATTTCCTAGTGGATGGGCACTATATACATGTCTAGAGTTATAAAAGAGAAATTGGAAGCCTTTAAACTTTATCAGCATTAACTCTGCAAATGTCTGGCAGGTCTAATAGATCCAAATATGAGAAGTAAGTCAAATCTGTGGTGGTTATCCAGACATATTTCAGCCAACAGAATACCTTTAGTTACACCATTCAGCTATTTCAAACCAAATAATATTGTGTGTGTGTGTGTGTGAATTCCAAATAATCTCATAATTTTCCCCTTGCATGAGAAGACACAGCCTTTACAGTTATTTGGTTTATAACTTCATAGTCAGAGCTTCTAAGGCCTGAACTCATTTCTTAAGGGGGCTTTTGATGAAGATTTATAAAACCATGTCTATTTTCAAAATTAAAGTCTGGAATTGCTTTGCCCATACAGGCAAGATATCCAAATCTTTTCCTGAAAAATGTCTTTTTGAAATATGTAGTAAATTGATTTATTAACTAATTTCCCTTCTATTACTTTAGATAGATTTACATATTTTAAAGCTCAAAAAAAAAAAGCATCAGGAAAAGCCAATAATACATACTCCTTCAATATTCTAATAAACCATGTTGAATTTTTATATTAAACTGCCTGTTTGGGTAAAAAAGCCACATTTATGATAATTAAATACTAACTTTGCAAGGGATATTTTAAATGAGACAATGAGCTGTATAGATGGCGAGACAGGACTATGAAATGTTTCTACTGAGGTACTGTAAAGACACAACAGCTCAGTGTCCTAAAGGAAGCATTTTCTCACATCATAAACGCACACCTAGGTGCGGATTATGTGTGTTTCCTTACTACAGCGCCCAGCAGAAGATATAGTACTGCTCCGGCCATAATTTGAAGGCCTGTACATTTATGAACATAGATCTCTCCATCCTATGGCTATGCAGTACTGCAATGAAGAAAATAAAGGTCAAAATTTGGACGAGACGGTGGAAAGAGGTGAAAATGGCACAATATAGAGTAAAACATGAATACTGGTTCCATTTTGAAATTAATTGAAAGGCTGAGACCAAACAGAAATGTCATAGCTAGACAGAATGGAAAGAAATGCTAGACTGATTGTGATGCTCTCAGGGGATACTGGGCCAAATTATTGATAATTTTTAAAAAATATCACAAAAGAGAAGATAAAACAGTAAAAACGCCCTTAGGTTCCATTAAATTACTTTGAAAATTAATATGTTTTTCCCAACACAAGACTTTTTCCAAAGGAAAAAAAAAATATATGTACAAAAGAAGATCCTGCTTTGATTATTTGACAGTTTGAAAGCATTTTTATTAATAGTACTGGTAATAATATCATCATCAGCATCATAATCACTATTATGCTAAGCTTTCACTCAGACTCAGCTGACATAAAGTGTCCACTGTCGTACTTAGAACAATGATCATACTTTCTTTAACTCAGCTAAAAAAACGACAATTATCCTTCTTTTTTTGCCCTCAATTTCAATAGTTATTTGTCAAAGTAAATGAGTTCATTGATTTTTGGATTCTGTCACTCACATAGTGCACCCAAGTTCTTCCCATAATCAATCTGGACATTCTATTTTTCCTACTTATGGGACATTTAAAATCTCATCTCCTATTTATATGTAGCTGCCTGAGAACACAAAGCTCCTTCTTACCTGTGTGGTAAAACTTCCCTGAAAATCCAAGGTTGAAGGTAAAATTTGCAACCTGAGTGCGCAGTAAATTTTGAGTCTCTAGTAATGCCTGAAATAAATAAGAAATTAACATGATTTTAGAAAATAAATATGAAGACTTGAGATGCCTCTTTTGCAAATGTCTGTGCAGGAATGAAACAGAATAATACAGGCTCTGTTGGTTTTTGGGTGTTTGATGGGCACTGTTATGTAGTATTCATATTCCAGGTATCATTATTCCTATGGCTATTAGTTTTACTAAAGGTTACCAAATTATAAAACAATTAAGTCCTAAGCACATCACGCATTGCTGAGAGGCAATTCTCTAACTGCATAATACTTAAATTATTTATCATTTCCATGTGAATTGTTTCTTGAATTTTAGATTATTATATTTTGTTTCCTTCAGGAAAGTTTTTCAGAATTGTTGCATGTAGACAAGTTCTCTGAGCACTAGTAAGAAAATTTTTATTTGAACTACAATTTAATGTTTTGTGTAACTGTGCTGCCTTAATCACCATTTTAAGGCATAATTAGGTAGATGAAAGCTTGAGTTTTTTACTTTTTGAACTAATGAGTAAACGTATTTTATAAAGCATTACTCACAAATTTAGAGATAAAAAGGAAAAAGAATATATAAGAATAAGTACCCTATGCATTGCTAATTCTGTAAAGAAATATTCTCTAAAGATAAAAAAATATTTTCCTAAATTCTAGCTATGGATTCATATTACAATAATTTGTTTGTAGACAGGACAAGAACACATTGATTATACTTAGTCAGTATTAGTCATGTAAAAGTTCTTCCAATCTTTTAGTAACTATTATTCTTATGTTAACATATGTAACATAATTCAGAACTCATATCCGTGGGTTTTTGTTTGCTTATTGGTCTGCTTATTCATTCAGGCTGTTTTTCACATTTTTAAAATGGATTTTTAATGTGGATTCACTTTGTCCAAATGAAAATAAGAAACTAATTTCAAACTAGAGATAGTAATAAGACTGAATTTTGATGACTGCTATCCATCAGTAGAGGTAAATAAAAATTCAGAGATTTAGACAATCGCTTTTTTAGTAGTCATGGTGGCTAAGCATTTGCTCAAAAATTTTGTGAAGCTAACTATTCTTGTAGTCCTTACTTAGTCTTGACTTGTTTACTTTCAAAGAAAGAAAGAAATGAAAAAAATACCCAAAAGTTTGATAAACTATATAGTCTGTGGTTTCCCAAGGCTGTAATTATAAAATGTAAGCAACACCAACCTTATTCAAATATTATCACTTAAATAGACAATGAAAAATTATACTCATTGGTTTGACTCATTTCCATGGACTACTTTAAAAGCCTTTAAAATATAAATTAAATATTAAAAAATGTGTGGTTAAAATAGATTATATGAAAACCCGTGAGCTTACTGGCAACCAGCCTTCAAATGAGATCATGCATTACTTTTTCTTGGTGAGTTGATGTGTCTGCTTCTCCTTTATTCTATGTACAGTGTCTGAGCATCCATATTTGAAACACATATACCTGCATTCCCCTCCTTCATGTAAACCCTGCAAACTCAGTTTGTCTTGAGTTCTTTAACTCATTCTTTATTCTATGTTTATTAATACAGCATTCATTCTTACTACTGTAGATGTTTAGTGTTGGGTTTAATAAAGGTGGCTCATGTAACAGTGGACTCTACTGCCTAGAGGAGGGAGGTATAAAAGCACAGTCACAAACGTGTAATTGCAACTCTTGGTAAGTGTGATGAAGGAAATCTTGATGTTGCAGTGACAGGCATAAAGACTGGACTCTAGTCTGGGGAATGGAGCCTCTACATTTGTTGCTTTCTTAGGGACAATGTAAGGAAGATCAAAAAGTGGATTTTTTTCCTGAGTGACTTCTCACAGGTCCATATTACTTTCTTCTTTGGTTTTGAAAATCCTGTGTTGTTGGGAGCTGATGAAGCTGGGAACTGAACACACGTGCAAGGGCTATGGCTTGACCCAACCCAAGAACAAAGAGACACCTCAGAGGGCAAGATAAGGTCACAGCTAAGGATACCTGGCTCCAACCCCAATTAACAAGATAGAGGATAGCCACAGATATCTCACTCCTGCTGTCCATTTCCTACCACAAATGTTATCCTGGAGATGTAGCAGTTCCTTTATTAATGTAGAACACCACTTTGAGAAGTCATTGGGGTGAGCGTCCAGGTTCTTCTCAGTTGATGTCCTTTCCTCAGTATCCCATCTCGATTTTTTGAAGACCTAATACATATGGGCTGCCCACAGAAGCTCTTTGTCTCAGCCCCCATAGTCTCGAACTTTACAGAGGGTTTTGACCTTCCTGGAGCTCTAAAATCACACCACTTGTTTCATTTATTTAAGCCCTCGCTATACACTTGTTTAGGAGACTGGGGATCTTGGCCAGTCCTTGATACTGTGTCATTGACGTGGGTTTCCCACTTGCCTTTCTCAGCTTCCCCTGCTGTGCCTGCAGTTACTTTCACCTCCTGCAGTCCTCTGCAACACTGGGCTGCGGAGGCAAGGAACTGATGTCTCAAATTCTGTAAACGGTTTTCATTCTCTAATCTATCCCTTTGCAAGTAGGATACTGAAATACTTATTTTGCATCATTATTGTGAAAACTAGATGGTATAGGTCATGTTAATTATTTAGCTAAATGTCTGCACATAGCAAAATTTGAATAAATACTGTTTCTCCAGTGTACATCTAATACCCTAGATACTTTGCCCTGGATACAATATTCTCTCCACTTCAGTTAGGAATCCTTGGTGCATCCCCATTTGATTCGAGCAGATTTGATCTGAGAAATCGGCCGTGCTCTTTCCCCAAATCCCCTTGCTGAAGTTAAATTGAACTATCTTCTGCCTCCCATGTTCTTCTTCACCTCTTTTATTCCTTTCTCTCTGCCTGGAAAGTTTTCTTTGGTCCCTTTGCTATTTCCCAAATCTACTCCTTTTTGTAACCTCTGCCTAAGTATCAGCTTTTTGTGCAAAGCTTTTCTAATGCTTTAAAGATTTCCTTTTTCTCATCTCCCAAGTAAGATTTCTAATTTATTTTCTGAAGACTTGCATTATTTTCTACTTTGATGACATGTGTTGTGGATATTATTTCTCTTGTACTCTCTAAACACTTTCAGGTTGATCAAACCTTACATGTTTATATCTATCTCCTGTTGCCAAATGTGTTATGTACATGTAAAGCTATGCAATTTAAAACAAAACCCATGTTAATACACAGCAGTAAATACAATTAGTTTCACTTATTTTTATTAGGACCGTTTTTCCACTGATAAAATGCTAAATGTGATTCATAAGCTGTGATTTTTAATTGTGGTGTGTCATCTTGAGTAAGAATTGCTTCATGAATTAGTAATTTCTAGATGTGCCTTTGGATGGGTGACATGTGAACCAGTAAACTGGGGTAGGGTGGGGGAACACCCACCCTGGATATGGGTAGCCCCAGTCAATAGGCTTGTAGCTTGGACAGAATAAAACAAGAAGTGAAACTTTTGGACATTATCTCCAATTTGTTCACCCTTCTGGAGCAGACTCCAGTGTAGACTCTTTTGGCCTCTAACAGATACACTTGTGACTACAGTGTGCTTCTAGGTCTTTGATCTTTGATTGTTACTGGATCCTCCAGCTCTACAGTGAACTGATGGTCATTTTAGATTCTTTCACCTTTGATTCTGCAAATGGTCACTGGTATTCTTCCCTACAAGGATTATAAATATTATTATTTAATGCAAAGATGTTCTAAAAATTAAAAACAAAAAACAAAAACCAAAAACATACAGAAATAAAACTCAGAAATAAAAGCAAGAAGAAAACCCCAGATGACAGTACTGATATAGAGTTATTTTACGGTAAGGTAGTTTTAGAGTGTGTGGCTCCTTCTATTAAAATTATTTACAATTGAATAAAAACCTATATAGTTAAAATGCACTTTGGTGTTTCAGACCCATTTCTTTACTGTCATTTTGCCATCTCTTCAGGTATCCTACTCCTATCTTTTCTTGTCTCCATCCCTCGCGTTCCAGGCAGGTTGAGCTCGATCTCTGGACTCTCTCCCCTCCTCATCCAATTATTCTCACATCTGTTTATTCATTCTTTTCTTCCAGGTACTAAGACTACTGTGGAGATGATAACTGTGATAAATTAATGAGAAACAAACTAATTGTTTATGTAAATCTCCTGATAGTTCCTTTCAGAAGTAGAAAGTAAGCCACCATGAAGTACTTGACACAAAGCTTTTCAGTTTGCTGTTTTCATGGGCCTTTATAGCACAGAAAATCAATCAAGTCATTACCTAATTGCTAACTGTTCTTAGATTCCAAAAATAATTACATCCTATGCCATTGTCCAAACTAACACAGAACCCCTACATTTCAACAGCATAGGGTAATGATATTAATGAATTCCTCTCTGAAGCAGAGGCCATTTAGTTGAGGTGTGAAGAACAGGGTTCCCCCATGGGAACCTAAGGACCCTGCTTCAGACAGGAAAGGACATGGTGACTTCTTAACACTCAGCCTTCTACTGATTTCACAGAAGATGTGATTGAAAGATCAAGTCAACTCATTGGCTACTTGCTAAGAAGGAACCTTAAAAAAAACCAAAATGATCATTTAGGAAACTTCACAGGAGTTCTGGTAAAAGTTAATGGAAGCATGACTGCTATTGGTGATGCCAGGAATGGAAGGAGGGAGGTAGTGTGATGTTGATGAACTGGAGCAGGAAGTGAGGTAGAGGGTGACTTCATGGATTATTGAGGTTTCAGACATTTAGCGAAGTGGGAAAATCTGGAAAGGGTGTTCAGGAAGAGAAATCAGTTTGTCCTCTGTTGTCTAAAAATGACTTCCCCCAACAGCATGACTTGCTGGAGCCTCTCTATCAGCCTCAGTAGAAAACTCAGAGTTTAAAGTCATTGGTTTTAACTCTGTGTTACCCAGGATTGGAGAGTTAAGTGCAGAAACTGATGACACAGTATGTTTGTGGGCTAAGGGTGTGTTCTAATAGTACAAGGAATGTTTGTTTAACTTTTGGAGTGTAA